CCCCCCCCCCGGGGCCCGCCCCCCCGGGCCCTTCGGAAGTTGACTTCAAGAACGGGGTTCGTGGACCGGGCCCCCCCCGGGTTGAAACCTCGGGAAACCGACGTTTACCTGCCAGTGCCGCCTTTGAGAAGGGCCGGTTCGGGTGCTTACCCCCCGGCCCGGGTAACTTGAAACTGAAATGAACTGAGTGACTCGGCGACGACTGAGGGCCCCGATCGGCCCGCCTCGGAGAGCATGCGTTTTAATTTTTAGATGGCCCCCCATCAATGCGACCCCCTCCTGGGCCCTCCATCTCAACCCTACCTGACCCTACCCCCTCTTATCACATAAATTTCAGGGGATTTGTAGGGGTGATTTCATCCGGCCATGAGGTTTCCACCTGTACCTGATGACAGGCAACGTTTGCGAAGATTACCAGCCTTCTGGTACAAAATTAAATACTTTTAGACCTCTAAATAATTCATTTGTACCACATTCTTGGGCGTCATATGTTTATATGTGTTTTACAAGCTTTTTTGCCAGTAGCGTCCCCCTTGCAACAGGACGACGGCGGATAGAGCGAGGGCAGGAGCAGGAGCAGGAGCAGGAGCAGGAGCAGGAGCAGGAGCAGGAGCAGGAGCAGAGCAAGACCCAGATCATACTTATACTGAGCTCGAGCAAGAAAGGGAAGGCAGCAAGAGAAGATCAGAAAATCGCTTGTGTTAGGTCTTCATCTGCCTTCGTAAGGGTCAACAAACTAGCACAAGCGCTCTAGCTCGCCAATCTCTCTACCTCCTCTTCCCTCTATTTGTACTAGACTGCTCAGAGTGCATCAGCTGCTGATTGATCGTTATCTGCCATGTCGTTCCTTTCGTCTCGGTTCATCGCTTCTTCAAATTCGTCGCTTCGCATGTCGTTCAAGAAAGCCAGGAATATCATTCCTTCTTCGGGCATGGTGAGCCGCAAGCTGGGGTTTGTTCCTTGTTGCCCAATGCATCATAAGCACGAGTCAAGCTTCAGCCAAGTAGAAGTTCCTTCCTTCATCGACCACGAGGAGAAGAAGTTGAAAGACGCCATTCACAAGATGTACGCTCCTCAGATCTCAACCTTGTTGCTCCTGCACGTCGGATCCCACTCAAAGGTTGTTGATAGTCAACGCGAGGACGAACAGGAGAGCGCATCGTTCTTTGTGTACAAATACAAGGAGATGGGGTTGTCCCTTGTGTCCGGTATGCTAGTCGGGTCGATACTATACTTCACGATAGAGAAGAGGAAACAGAGATTGTGAAAGTATCCGAGGGGCTGATCTTCATTTGAGAAGTTTTTGTTTGTTTAAACGTTGTATCAGTAGATTGCAATTGAGAAAAATTCTACTTCTTTGACTTCTTTGACTGCCAAGAGAGTCATCCTAAAGGATTTCCAACACGATTGCTTTCAACACTCACCTTCTTCTTCTTCTTCTTCTTCTTCTTGGACGAATCCTCCTCGTCCTCGTCCTGCAATCACTGTCATACAGCACCTCGGCTCCTTCCTTTCATCTTACATTCGCTTCTTTCTCCGCCTCCTTCCTCTTGATCTCCTCCTGCACTCCCTGTCAAGAACCTCCCCTTCTTCTCCTTCTCCTTCACCATCATCTCCTTCATAATGTCGTCGTCTTCTGCGCCTCCTTCTGGGGCTGATGCTGCAGCAATCTCGGCATAGACCTAGAGGATGATGAGCATGTTGCCGTGAGCACAATGATGATTGATGGTGAGTGATGGCCATGATGATGATGGTAATGGTGGTGGTGATGATGATAATGATGTTGTTGTTGTTATTGTTGATGATGTTGATGACGATGGGGAGGAGCTAGAGGAGAAGCAATATGTTTCAGGAGGAGGACGATGATGACGGTGGTGGTGATGCTGACGAGAAGGAGGAGGAGGGGAGCACGTGGGTACCTCCTCGCAGTCTCTCTTCTCAAGCTCCCCAAGCGATGAGTAAGGCCCAGTCTTGATCTGTTGGATACCATGATGTGAGAGCGGAATCAGAGAAAGGGGAGGGAGGGAGGGAGGGAGGGAGGGAGGAGGAGGGGGAGGAGGAGGAGGACAAAAGGAGCAGGAGAGGAGGAGCAGAAGACTGTCTTACTCTTCCACTCAGAACGTGATCGAGAGTAACTCCGAGCTCGTTGGAGTTGAACTTTCCGACATGGAGGTGCGACCTCTGCTTGGAAGGAGAGAGGATGACCATGGTTGGAACCTGCAGGAGACGATCAGTCAGCATGAAGACAAAAGGGGAGGAAGAGGAGGTGATGCTGCGAGTGAGCTGCGACTGTGAAAGAGCAAGAGCAGGAGGAAGGAGATGAAAGAGAGTTTGAACGCGCTGTGGAAGAGGGAGCAAGGGAGGAGAGTCAATATGTTTCCGTCAACCTTGTTTCCATCGACGTCGAGCTTGGAAGCGAAGTCATAATGGCATGTGGCGTCGATCCAAGAAAAGTGGAAGGGAGAAGGATGCTTCTTTGCGCGAAGTTCTTCCTGCGGGTCAAACATGAGACGCGATAGGAAGGACGAAAGATGAAGAGGAAGAAAGTGTGGGGGAGAGGAGGAAGCAAAAGCAGAGGGAGTAGAGGGAGCAGAGGGGATTGATGATGGGGGAGAGTACGGAGAAGAAGGAGGAGGGAGGGGAGGGAGGAAGAAACGAAGAGGAGGATAGGAGCAGGAAAGGGGAGAGGAGGAAGAAAACCAGGCAATCAGGAGCAGGAGGTGTGGAAGGAGGAGGAGGAGACTTACAAGCATCTTGAGTTGCTCATCCCTTTTCTCCTTGTTCTCAGGTGAGCCATCAAGAAACGCGATGGCGCACAGACCTCCCTGTCAGCAGAGGGTGAGATGAAGATGTACATGCTGAAGCTGGAAAAGTGAAGAGAGGAGACAAGGGTTGAGTATGTAGAGGGAGGAGGAAAAGATAGAGAGAAACGAT